TTAAGACTTTATGCCTATCTTCGGTCAGCTTTCAGTTGTACCTATATAGTATGTGGGATAATGTTTTTAGATATTTATAGTATATCATTTATAGTTTGGATTCATACATGTTTGACATTTAGTTTGGTTTCAGTTAGATAGTTAAGGATTTTGTTCTTAACTACTTGATTGTTTTTTCTTTTCGAAACTTACTTAGAAGACGTAGAAATTAAATCATAAAAATATAATCCATTTATTATTTAAAAATTGCTAATAAAACATAACAATTATTTTAATTTGATATATCCACATGTAGTTTTAATTTAGTAGTTAATGAGGTACCAAAATATATGAAATCTTGAATTTATAACGATCAAATAATTACGATGTAATTAAACTTTTATTTTTTATTTTTGGATAGTTTATAGATTTGAAATTGCATTATAGTTAGGAAAAATAATAATCGAATTAAATATTTTTCTAATTTTCGATTGGTTATGTTAAGTGCTAGTTATTAGGGTGATTGAATTAATTCTGTATTTCTGAATAATTTTTTTAAAAATTGGATTATTGGTTTTTAAAAAGAAAAACGGAAATATCTCATATGTAATCAATATATTTCAAACTCTTTTAATTTTTGTGCGATATTTTCGAGATTGCTTTTTTTAATATGAAGATTTTATGTGAAAATAAGAGATTTCATGTGATATATAATTTTCGCATGATTTTAGCCAACAAACTTTTAATTATTAATTTAATTAAGATTATTTATTCAAATATTTTTAACTACTTTTTAAGATTATATTTTTAAAATTTGATGATATAATTAATTATGTCGTATATTTCACACATTTTATGATATGTATTTTTATAATCAAACATACTTTTTCATCTATGTTTTTCTTAAATATAAATTATTATTTTCAAAAAATATTCTAAAATATATAACTAATATTAAATCTGTTTGAATATGTTTAATTTCGAATTTAATTGTCCATTTTTTATGGTAACAAAATTAAAATGATTTCCATAAATACAGATAGTTTTTGTTTTTTATTTTTTATTTATTTAATTTATTTTTTTGCTGTCTTTTAGTGTGTTTGGCTATAGGTTTGAAATTGTATATTTTGTAATATTTTTTTTCAAGTTGTTTGGTTACAAAGAAAAATAATGATCCCCAATTAATAGTATAGATTTTTCATATTCTAAATTTTTATTATCTGGTAGTGTATTCACAATCATTATCCAAAAAAAAATAAAAATAAGTGTCATTTGCAAAACAATCATCAATTGAGACAATATATAGACGTTTTTTAGTTAGTACCTTTAGTTGCAAAAGAAATCCCTTATGTGTGAGCAATTTGCAACTTTATAAAAAGTTTGTACATTAGTATGTAGTGTAGATAAAGCTGGTAAGAAAATAGGAAAATTTTCAGTAAATATTAATTCTACCAATATAGAACTGGCTTCTTTTTTAAAAATGAATTATTACATTTGTAATACTTATCTGTTCCATTTTATTGATTTTTAAGCTAAAAGCACAATAATTAAGAAATAATAAATATTTTATTATTTTTACATAAAATATACTATTAAGTATTATTTTAAAAATTAACCAATAGAAAAATTGATTGGAGAAAATAAATATTTGTAACATACTAAATAAACATTAATGATGCATGAAAATCTGGAAAATTCTTATAAAATGGAACAAAATAAAAAGGCTTAAAAATCTTATAATTTGGAATGGAGGGAGTAGAGGTTAGTGGTTTGGAATACGAGAAAATAATATTTGACATTTTAAAATAAAGTTAATAAACTACCATTTATTTTACATTCTTTGTGACTAACACATACTAACACATACGATTTCAAAGTTCTATAAATAATTTGTGGCTCGTAAACCTTTTTCACAAAAGAAACACATTTTGTGACTACCTCTTTAAAAAGTTACAAAAATTGCACAACATATCCACATATATGAGGCTTATTAGAGCAAACCCATAGTATTAGTAAGATTTTGCTTTCATTTACCAACCCTCGTGATTTTATTTAGATTTTAATCAACAGAATTGTTGATACGTTCAGTTCAAGGTTTATAAGTTGAACGACGCACATAAGCGGATTCATAACAAAAACATCATCTATATCGTCATCATCCTCAATATTCGTCTCAACATCTGTAACATAAATAGAAATAATTTTTTTTTGGTTTCCGTTCAGCTATCATAATCTAATGCCATTTAGTGTGGAGGTAAAGTGACTTTATTTTGACTTTCCCAGTATCCCTACCATAAGTCAGTTAAGTTGTCGAGGCAATTACTATTTATGTTAAAGGTTGGGTACAAAAATTTATTTTTTTCTTTTTCTTTTTTATTTTATTTTATTATTTTATTATCTCTATATTTATAATTTTACAATATTTGAGGACTAATCTATTTCCCAATACTATATATCACCATTCTTGGCCGATATTTTTTCTTGTCAAATAAATTATATTAATTCTCTAAAGAGATTGCAAAATTATTAAACATAACCAGTATAAAATAAATTATTATTTTCTACTAAATTAGTTCATACATAAATTTCTTTTTTTTGGGTAATTTTTATCAGAAACCGGATGTAAGTTTTACGCACTCCATCTTACAATAGAATTTAAACTGATATTACATCTGAAGAAAACAAATATTAATTCTATACACTCTATCTCAATGGATAAAACATCTAATTTTCATATGAGAATTAATATTTGCATTATATAAAATGTATATCTTAGTTAAAATTAAATTATACATCATAAAGCTAGATTGGTAACTTAGGGGTATTCACAAGCTGGAGAAATAGATGTTGATGAGACCTTCGTACATACTTCATTCACCTTGAGTCCATCCATTTACTACTTCAGAGTTCAGATGGTTTGTGTGCTAAATATTTGGTTGTATCAAATGGTCTCTTCCGGAACAGATTTTTCAAGATGAAGTGTATGTCTCGCAGCCAAAGAGGTTTGAAAATCCACATTTTCCTGATTATGTTTACAAGTTAAAAAAAAATGTATGGTTTTAAGCAAGCTGGGAGAGCATATGTATGAGAATGTATGAGAGGGGAATTCAATTTCTGTTGAAAGAATTATTTTTAAAGAGGAAATGTGGATAAGACTCATATTCTTTATAATTTAGGATCTAATATACTGTATGCTCATTTTAAATTTTAGTTTCTATTTAAATTTTTATAAGTGAAGTTACATATATTTTCTTTACTCAACCAGCATTTAAACTTTTAACTCTATTATAAAATTGATTAACACAAATTTGAAGCTTTTTTGGTTAAAAAGTTGAAGTAAATTATATATTATTATTAATAATAAAATTTCATAATATTGTTTTCACTAATTTAAAATTTAGTTTTATGTATGATAAATAATCTCAAATAGCTAAATTTTATTAATTATAAATGAAATTAACAATCAAAATATACTTTTCATTTGTGCCATATCCCAACAGAAAACAACTTTTTACTCCAATCCCAACAGAAAACAAACTTTTTAATTAACATCATCCTTATCTCAACTTGGTAGATAAAAAACTATATAGCACAAGAACTTAAAAAAAAAAACTTAAAAAGCTAGTTAGCTATAGGGTTACTACGATCAAGAGGAATCAAGAATTGCTGAATGTAGCATAAGAACCAAAACAAGAATTTTGTGAGAACAAAAAAATCACAAACGCCTTCCTCTTCTACCATTCTTTCTCCGGGTACTATCAGTCGGAATTGGAGTCACATCCTCTGCAATACATCAGAAAAGTTTGTTCAGTGGTTAGTACATGGAAACTAGTTCTAGGCTTTACATAAAAAGAGATAGAAATAATTACCTATGCGACCAATCTTCATGCCTGAACGAGAAAGAGCTCTAAGGGCAGCCTGAGCACCAGGACCTGGAGTCTTGGTCTTGTTTCCTCCAGTGGCACGGAGCTGCACGTGAAGGACTGTGACGCCAAGCTCCTGATGATATAAGAAAACATCAAACCAAAGGATCCAACAGCCAAGTAAAATAAAAAGTCGAAAGTATATAAGATATAAACAAAACCTTGCATCTTTGAGCAACATCTTGAGCTGCAAGCATAGCAGCATAAGGACATGACTCATCCCTATCAGCTTTTACTTTCATTCCACCTTCAGTATCACAATCACAATATTAAGGATTTAAACTTCAACATACACTAACTATAGATCAAATATATGAGACTTAATTACCAGTAACACGAACGAGAGTTTCTCTTCCAGAGAGATCAGTCACATGCTACAAAGCACAAACATAGAAAAAGGAAGACCAAGTTAGAAAATGTAAATTGAACACATGTTACATTATATGGAGTGGAGCTCACGAAACACTTACGATGAATGTGTCATTGAAGGAAGCAAAGATATGAACAACTCCAAAAACGTTCTCTCCTTCACGAACACTTGGTCCTAGACGAGTGACGTTATCTTCCTTGGGTTCTCTATTCTTCTTCTTGGACGACTATATTATAAACAGAGAGTCAAACACTAGTTACGTGTAACGTACGTATCTACTTGCAAAAAAACAATCTAAAACACAGACTAACTTCTTGAGAAATTCATAAAAGGAAGAAACAAGATTGGTTATGGAGTAGAGAGACGATGGAGATTACCATGATGTAGATGACGGATGAGAAGTGAAAAAGAGAAGAAGATGGTAGAGCTTAGGGATCTTCTCCTTAACTAAGAGAGCAGATAAAGATGAAACGAAAACAGAGATTGTTAATTGTTAACACTAATATATAGTAAACATAGGGTTTTAAAGATATCATAAATTAGGGTTTTAATGGTAACATTAATATACAAGTAAACTTAGGTTTTAATGGTAACACTAGCCTTGGCCATTAGGGTACTCGGATTGGGTTCGGGTAAAAACCTTTCGGGTTCGGATTTTGTTGGATAGAGTTTAGGATTCAATAGAGTAAATCTAAAAATTCGGTTTGGTTTCGGTTCGAGTCCACTCGGGTTCGGGTTCGATTTAGATTTTTATAACCGCTAGTACATATTTTATGTTCTATAACAGAATTTTTAAATAATAGATAGTACACAAATACCTAAAATTTCACCCAAATATCTGGTAAATTTTTGGGTTTTCGGATAAATACCCAAATTTTTGAGTAAATATCCGGAATTTCGGGTAAAAATTCATATTTTCAAGTATAAATTCGTGTATTCATCTAAATAATTCGGGTATTTAGGTCCTAAATTATCTATATACATTTATATTTTAGATATTTTTGGATTTGGGTTCGGATCAGGTTCAGCTTCAGGTTTTTGATTAGAAGAGTTTAGGACGCAAGAGAGTAAATCTAAAATTTCGATTTCGGATCGGTTCCGGTTTTTTTATCCAGGGGTATTATTGTATTAAATCCTTAATTAAAAACAAATGAAAACTAGTAAAAGAATTCTGACAGCTGTGGGATTTGAACCCACGCCCTTTCGGACCAGAGCCTAAATCTGGCGCCTTAGACCACTCGGCCAAACTGTCCTGTTGTACGCTATTCTTGAACCACTAATATAAATTAAGAATCTTGGAAAAATTGAACCTTTAAAACTCGATTAAATCTTCTTATGAATGACATTGGATGCGAGAGAGAGAGAGAGTGAGGATTGGGGAAGAAGATAACGAACAGGGTCGGTTCAATTGAGACAGTGTTTCAACAAACAAGAGAACATTAGATTGGATCAATTCAAGACTGAATCAAGTTTGGTACAAATCAGGAGATCTATAGAAGTGGGAACAGTTCATTCTAATTCAATAAGAAACTAAAGATTGCTGAGTGGTGCAACGAATGAAAATGAAAAGTTTGTCTCTTTTATCATAACCCTGATGGTTTGTTCCTGATCCTACTTGAGCGTCTCACTGGTGTAATCATCTCTGCTTCTCTATCACCCTGTGAATATAAAACTTGTTAGTGTTTTAAAACGATGCAAGAACTTGTTGAAACTTTTACTTAAAAGTGATTTGATAGTACTCACACTTTTGATGGGTATTTTCTCGTATGTTGTGAAACTTCCGTAAGAAAAGGAGCCAACAGAGTATTCTGATGCTGAAGATGCCATTGATTCTCTCCTCAACTTGCTTCTGCTGCTACTGTTGTTGTTCTTCTTATTGTCTTTTTCGCTTTGAGGTTCTTTGTGGAAACTGTTGCTCATTCTGTCATCAACTTCTTCCGCCTTGAAGTTCAGTGAAGAAAGCTTTTCTTTCATCAGATTCTCTACTAATACATCCTTGTTGATGGTCTCAGCTACTGGTTTGGGAGCAAATGCAGTCATAGGTTTTACCTTCTTAACGAATATGTAGGCTACTGCTGCGAGTAGAACCAGCATAGTCGTCGAGGACAATACTATCATAGCCTTGACATTGTTAGTTTTGTTAGAAGACCTTACTTTAGGATGAAGATCATCACTAGATTCTACTGTAGTCTCCCCAAAAGCTTCTTCTGGTCCACTTTCAGTATCAGCTTTGGCTAAATCATTATCAGCTTTGTTAGAAGAACTTACTTCAAGATGAATAAGAACATCATCAATTTTGGATTCAGTTTCTCCAAAACCTTCCCCTGATACACTACTTTCACTAGTAAGTATCTCACTCTCATTTTGCTGGTGGAGATTGATGGCAACAGATTCAACATGCTGGTTAGTGTAGATAGCTTCGGATTTAGCTTCTTCCAGCTTCTCTTGGGACTTTACGGATGATCCTGTTTCAATCTTTTCTTCAGGACTCTCTTGGGACTTTACGGATGATCCTGTTTCAATCTTTTCTTCAGGACTCACCTCAGACTCTCTTTGTTCTTCAATGTTCCACTCTAAGACATCGTCGAAAACTTTATTCACCTCTACATCTGAGTTCCATCTCTTCTCAGCCTGTTCATCAGATTCACTAACTTCTGCATCGTCATCTGACTTTTCATCTCCTCCACTCTCCAGCTCAGATGCATTGACAGAACCATCCTCTTCATAGACATCTTCAAGATTAGTTTCAACTTTGCTCTTCTCTTGTAGTGGTTCTTCAGTGATTTCAACACTTGTTGGCTGGAAAACAGTATTATCCGCCATAGTATATGTCAAGTTATGAAATTGCAGTTGACCAAATTCCTCATTCCATCCTCCAAGACGTGAGACCAGCTTATCCATGAACACAAGTGATGTTTCTGTCAAAGTCAAGAGCTTTTCACTCAGCTTGTCCAAGTTATTAGCTTTTGCAAACTCTGTGATTTCTTTCGGGATATGGAACTCGTCGAATGTTGATATCATTGGTGGAGAAAATGTCCCTGCAATCAACAGATACGTGATGGCCAAAGCCAAAAACCAACCAAGGAACTTGAATTTCCTGAAACCAGACTGTTTTGGCACTTGACTTGTTTCTTCAACGCTCTCACAAACCATTTCTTCATCACTCTCTGCTTCCAATTGCTCCACATCTTCGGTTTCACTTTCCACTACTGCCTCAGCTCCATACTTCACTTGTTCCTCACATGTATCAGATTCTTCTACAGACAATTCAGTGTCTGAAGAAGAGCTTTCAGAGATGAAAAGTTCCTCAAGCTGCTTGCACTCATCAAAACGCTTCTCCATTCTTGGATTCGGCTTATAATGAAGGAACTGAGGCCTTGGCGACAAATAATTCTTCTTCGGATCATAAGGAGGCAACAATGTATCGACTTCACGAGCTGCAAATTCAGGAGATGTGTATGGAACAGAAGGACGAGGACTGATCCTGAATCTTGGATCAGAATATGTAATCCCTTCCTTCTCATAAACTTCCTTCTCATCAAAATCAGTCACAGTCAAGTCATGTGATTCCTCAAAATCCTTCTTTTCATCAATACAAATGTTTTGTATGACATCTGAAAACGAAACACATGACTTAGCACGGTGATGATTTCTTTTGTTCCCCTCCAAGATAAGACCTTTAACATCAGAGAAGGACCGAGACATATCGTTTTTATCAGACAACACTCTCTTCCTTGGCGATGGATTGATCTTAGAAACCGCTGAAATAGTTGGTGACATGAAGTTCTTGGAACCTTTCGGAGTTACAACAGCCTTGGTCTCGTTCTCTTTGTCTTCTCCACCAAAAGAGTTCCTCCGAGAAAACTCTAACAAACACAAGCATCACAACACATCAATCAACAACAACACATCAAACATTCTGAACTTAGACAAATCTACAAGAACCAAGATTTAGCCAACAGAAGAGACTCTAAGAGTTAACGAACTCAGCTATTAATTGAAAAAGAAAAACCTTTAAGTAAAACCCTAATCTAAAAATCAAAACTTTGGAGGACTAAGTTGAACCCAAATCTAAAAAAATCGAAACTTTAAGGAATTAAGAAAGACCCTAACCTGAGGGGACATTGACTTTTGTATTCGCCGGAAAAGGGTTGCCACCAAAGCTCCGGCGTAAAGGATCACCGGATTCTGAGTTTCTCGGTTTAGGGTTTGGTCTGTTAGGGATTGGAGGAGAAAAGGAGGAATTTTTATTGGTAGGAGAAGAAGCCATGACTGATAGAATCCTTAGTTTGCTAACAAATCTGAGATCTTTTGGGTTTGTTCGTTAAAGGAAACAATGAAACAATGAACTTGTAAAGAGATCAAGAAAGCTCTAAAGATTGAGAGAGTTTGAAATTGGGAAAAAGAGGGACAGAGAGAAAGAATCGTAACGGCTAGTTGCAAGTTTTGGAAAGATAGATCTGAGGGATTTTAAACGACGGCTAGTTGCAATTTTTGCAATATTTATGACCGTTGAGATGAAATATATAAAAAGAGTGTTTCAAAAAATTCATAAATAAATATGCTTTAAGCTTTTTACACGTAATTTCATTTTATAGTTATTAACTTAATACTGAATTAAGGAGTTATTTCACAATTTTGCCAACTTTATGTCCAAGTAAAGATGGGTAAGTTTACAATTTTACGACTCAAATATGTGATCGTTTTTGCTGTGAAAAGAAAGGTGTTTGTAATTGTGGACGTTTAAATTCTCCAATTTCCAAAACGTCATTTAAATACCAAATTTAAAAGTTTATGATTTTTTTTGGAATTTAAAATTGTGGATTTTTATAAATATTTTGATGAAAATGTGTAGTAATGAAAATAATTCTAATAGTAAAGGCTATGAATGGTGACCATAAAAGCGGGGCGTTTTTCGTCATGCACCGCAGTAATGCACATATATTATTAGTCAACCTGATTTTGTTCTTGCTAGCGTTTTTTTTTTTTTTAAATTTATGGAATTAACCAACACATATAGGCATGAAACATTTAAAATCATAAGTAGTATTTACCTAGCTGTTCTAAAACATCATATATCGCATTTTTCCCACAATTTTATTTTCTCTAAATACCGCAATTAAACTGTACTGCATATTAAAACCACTTTTCCTACACAGTCAAATACGCTGTCACGAGAGTATTTATTCAACAAGACTATTCCACCCAAACAAATAAACAAATTAGAGTGTTTAGTAAATTTCTTGTCTCATGTCATTTCAATATCATGTATTAACATTCGCCCACTTCCTACCTTGACTTGACCCCTCTAACTACATGCCAGCTTTATCTCCTTTAATTATATAGCCACCAATACCACACATTTACATATAGATGTCGACCTTAAGTTTTTTTTTTTTGGTTTTTTTTTGTTTTTTTTTGTTTTTTTTTTGTTTTTTTTTTTTTATATTACTCAGGGTAAATCTCCGGACCTATGAAAGGATCCGAAACTAATCCCTGGGGAGAGGGTATCCCACGGGTAGGGTCCCCCCAGTTTTTCAAATGGGCCTTAAGCAAGAGGCCCATACCCATGTGGCCAAAAGGATAAAGCTAGCAATTCTGCGTCTGGGGAGAATCGATCCCTGACCTAGACCAACAGGGCGACTCTTCCACCAGACTAGAACCACTAGCCCACCACCTCTGGGTCGACCTTAAGTTCATAGCTCACAAAAACTACATTATTGTTTTTGTGCGCTAATATATGAATGGTTTAAGCAGAAACCATGTTAATCTAATAGAAATGGTCAAATAGAAAAATGTTTGATGGTTATCGTTTTAGCATATTGATGGGAATAACATTCTTCTTTGGAGAACTTGTAAAGAGATCAAGAAAGCTCGAAAGATTGAGAGAGTTTGAAATTGGGGAAGAGAGAGAGAGAGAGAGAGAGAGACTCGTAACAGCTAGTTGCAATTTTTTGCAATATTTTCTGACCGTTGGGATGAAACATAAAAAGAGTGTTTCAAAAGTTTTGTATAAAAAAGCTTTAAGCTTTTGCCCAAAAAAAAGCTTTAAGCTTTTGCACGTAATTCATTTGATAATTAATAACTTAATACTGAATTAAGGAGTTAATAACTCAATACTGAATTAAGGAGTTATTTTACAATTTTTCTACATTTTTTACAACTCAAATATGTAATCGTTTTTGCTATGAAAATAAATGATGTTTCAAATCGTTTTAGCTATAAAAGAAGCGTATTCGCCTTAGCCGCCGAGAAAGTCACCTTCTGATCTCCGTTTTCCCTCTCCCGTAGTCGGCGCTCCTCGCTGCTGCCGTGAGAGGGCCATGTTGTTTCTTGTATTTAGTTGTTGTTTCTCGTCTGTGGTTTGGCTTGATCTGATTTAGTTCAATGAAGAAGTTGGTTTTGATAGGGTAGTTGTTGTTTATTGGAGAGCGGTGATTCTACTTCCTCAACGGTAGTGGTTCATCTTGTTGAGGATTAGGATTTTGTTTGGGCTTGGTTAAATCTTTGGCTCGTCCCATCTCTAATTGATGCTTTCAAAGCCCTTGGTTTAGACAATATTGGTTCTAGGTGGGCGTTTATCTTCTGGTCCCATTGTCGTACTTGCGCTCGTTTTCTTAGCCGGGTAAGCAGATCTCTTGGTCTGGCTTCTTCTTGATTTGCTAGATTTGGTCTGGTTTTTCTCCGCCTTCTAAGGTTGTTTGGTGTCGTTTTAATCTGCTAGTTCTAGCCTTCTTAGTTGTCGTGAGACTTGATTCGATGGAAGTCTTTCAGCTTTTGGGGTTTGATTATGGATCTTAGCTCTACCTCTTAGTTTGATCCTCTTGCTTGTTCGTTGGTGAGTTGTGGACTGGGTTTGTTCTTGGTGTTCGCCTCTCAGATGTTTTTTTTTGTTGCTTAGCCACCTATTAGCCTATCTTCTTTAGAGTTAGGTTTTGGGCGAAACAATGGATTCGGTCTTTAGCTTTTCTCTTGCGAGGAGATCACAATTTCAAGTCTATAGGTGGTTAAAACTGGTTCGACGAGTGTCCGCGTGTAAGAGCTGTTGATCCTCTTTGGCTTATCTCCAGTCGATTTCCAAGGTGTCTTGCCTTGTTCCTAGTGTCTTGTCCTCTCCTCGTTTGGCTGGTGAGGTATGATGTGTTGTATTTGTGTCGCTGGTCACGTTTGATTCTTGCTTTCCTCCCTGTCGGTCTGCTTCTGATTTGACTTTGGTGTGAGGTCTTCCACTCTTATTGGAGCTGTCGTCGTTAACATTTTCTATAGGGAAGCTTAGTATGATTCTATCTTGCCTTTGCTCAATCCTAGTGCTTGAATGCATTTCCTCCTAGAATTTTTGTTTCCTCTTTAGAATTTTGCTTCTTTGTTCACTCTAATATGTTTCCTTGTAACTTGAAGTTGTATTTCCCTCTTTTGGGCCAATGTCTCCGGGGACATTTTGTAGTCCGTCGGCTTATGTATTTCAACTTGGATCTATCTTTGGATTGTTATTAAAATTTCAGATGACAAAAAAAAAAATCTCCAATTTCCAATACGCCATTTAAATACCAAATTTAAAAGTTTATGATTCTTTTTGTGGAATTTAAAATTGTGGATGTTAATACATATTTTGATGATACTAAAAGAATCATATTCAACAAACAGTTAAGTGTTTGTTCAACAAGACTATTCCACCCAAAAAAAGACACATCAAACTATTTAGTAAATTTCTTGTCTCAATTCATTTCAATACCATGTATTTATTAACATCTCCCACTTCCTACCTTGACTTGACCCCTCTAACTAAATGCCAGCTTTATCTCCTTTAGTTGTATAGCCACCAAAACCACACATTTACATATAGATGTCGACCTTAAGTTCACAGCTCACAAAGCAATACATTATTGGTTTTGTGGGCTAAAAGATAAATGGTCTAAGCAGAAACCATGTTAATCTAGTAGAAATGGTTAAATAGAAAATGTTTTATGGTTATCGTTTTAGCATATTGATGGGAATAACATTCTTCTTTGGAGACTTTGATACTCATGTAATGCAATCGTCAAATAATAATATTAAGTGATCATGAACATATCAGTTTGTTTCGATTTTGAGACAGGGGATTTCAGTTTTTATAAGATGGAAGTTGAGCATTTGTGCATTTTAAAATTATTGGTCGATAAGATTTTATATGATTTTGATATTTTTGGAGAAATTTAGAGAATCTTTTCAAATTTCACTTAGAACCATGAGATTTATGTTTTATGTATTTTCGATTAAAAATCTCTTAAAGTAATGAAAATTCAATTTAGCAATAGACTTTTTAATGTCTAGATTTATTATGTAATGCAAATTATGAGAATTGTTATAAAAATGATTATCTCACGGATTTCAAAAGTAGATTTTTAAAATTTAATATTTAATAACAATGAATTTTAAAGTAGATTTTCAAATTGATAATTTATAACATTGAATTTCAACTTGCAATTTTTGCACGAATTTTTTTTAAGTTGCATTTAACCTGTTTATTTAAATCATATGTTTTATATTTTTCGATGTTAATGATCTAAGAACTCAAATTTCATCTAAATCCCAAACTACAAAAAATCATATTTACATAAAAATGAGAAATATTTTTTTTTTTTGGTAAACTAAAAATGAGAAATCTTTGAATACATGCTTCTATTTCATAATTTTTTTTCTCCATTCATGTCGACTTTATTCTGGGTCCTTAAAATAAAATAAACCTAATTTTAAATGAACAAATACTTGTCAACACAACAAGTTATACACAAAAAAATTAATTATCCTTGATATATTCACATGGATCATACAATTCATTTATGACAATAATTTAATATTTCTCCAAAAAAAAAATTGATTTTTTAACCCCCAAAAAAAAGAAAAGAATTGGTTGAAAAGCACACCACATTCAAATCAACAATATATGATTGGCTATGACATAAACCATAGACTATTCCACCAAACTCTCACAAAAAAAGTTTTTGAGTAAATGCAGAAATGAGAAATGTGTTCTCTCTAAATCATTTTGGATTTTGATACCCACACAAAAGATTTGATTGAGTTGGCAAAATTTATTAACATTTCCCCCACTTCCTCTACTTGGACCTTTGACCCTTTTTAACATTTTTGTCTGTCACTTGTGAATAACAAATATACCTTTTTGGCTTCTATTTATACACAAACAAACACAGAATAAAGTTTAAAGAATCCAAAATAAAAAATTTGCTCTTTCTTCTTCTTCTTCTTCTTCTTCTCTCTCTCTCTCAAAAAAAATCACAACTTTTCGACAGATCAACTGTTTTCTTCCATACGTGTTCATCAATGGCGTCACTTCACTGATTCTCAAAAACCCATTTCTCTCAATCTCTCGTTTTATCTTCTCCACACTCGGGTTTTGAAAAAGGTTGCATTTTTTTTTTTTTC